CCACCACCACCACCATACCACAGCCACTACCACCGCCACCAGGCCACTTGTGACCCCCTCACCCTGACACCACCACCGCCACACAATAGCCATTTGCGACCATTACCTTACCACAACCAACAGTGTCAAATCCACCACTAACATCTCCAGATCCACATACAACATTGACAACAAAAAACCCTCAAAAACCACCTCCACCACCTTCCCTCAAAACCGCAGATCCACAACAAAAAAAAAACCTCAAAAACCAGTGAAAGTGACTCGATTAGAATTACCGAGAAGAGAGGATTTTTAGAGACTGTAGATCTGAAACTCAACCTTCAGTCCAATGAATCAACTTTAGATGCAACTCGCCGCAATTCGAACTCCTTCTGACCGGCGATATGGATTGAGGGTGGTGATGGGTTTGGGGCTTTGGGCGATGACGGCAAGCGGCGGCGACAGGAGGGAGGCAATGGGTTGGTTTAGAGAGAGAGAGAATGTAGAGAGGGAAGGGGAGGGGAGAGGAGGCGAGAGAGAGAGAGGCGAGGGAGTTGAGAGTGATAAATTAGGGTTAGGGTTTTAATATATTACCTGATTTTTTAATAAATAAATTTTGGACCTGATTTTTAAAAAGTCATCTTTAAACCCCTGATTTTTTATAATTTCCCATTTCAAAGTTAATAAAGAGTCTAGAGACGATAAGCGCACACATTGTTAGTTATTGGGCTGCCTCACTATTTTTACTTGGGCCACTGAACTTGGGCCTATTTGCTGTGAACCGATTGGCCCTTTACAAGTAAAAACGCATTGTGGAAACACGCTTTAAGCCTTATATTGGTGATGATATCTAGCCTTACACGAGGTGCATTTGTGGGCGTTGAATTTGATCTTTTGAGGCACCATATAAAAGGCATACCTTGGCCTTTTTCAGATAAGTTTTGGGCCTGTATTGGTTAGGATTTTTTGGCTCTTCATTTTTTTCTCTAATCTGTTCTTAGTCTCTGTGAATCTTGAGTGGATTGTTGATGTATTGCGTGTGTAGCCTGTGAGATTGAGTGTGGTTTACTGTGGTGAACTACCGTGTGTGAGGCGAGAGTAAACTGTGAAGAAATCTCTAATTTTTTTGTATATTTGTATATACTATTCTTGGTTAATTTTAGTGATACGAGCAATATCTTCTTGTAGATGCTCAACGTGTGAGTAGCGTTTAGAGCACGTGAACATCCAAATCCATTAATCGGTGAAAATTCCTTTGTATTGTTACATTTGATTTTCTTCGATTTTGGTTTGTGCAACCGTTTCGAGTTTTTGAATGTTTTGTTTAAACGCTAATTGGGACCAACAAACATAACCAGATTAACCAAATTTCAAAATAATCCAAATATAGTCAAGGGCAATACTATAATGCCAAAAACAAGATTATCATTTGACTTCTAGTTAAGGAATCAACCACGTTAATTTGGTCAAATTCTCTCAAACTTTAGTCAACAACAAATTAACATTTGTTAAGATAACAGTACAAATCATAACCTTAAGACAGCTCGAGTCTATTTAAAGAAAGAAAGTACTCGAATCATAGCCTAATTATGAATTTATTCTTTAACTGTATAATCAAGACATGTAGAGGCAGCCCTGAGCGAGTTGAGCGACCGCACAGGACCTCATTATTGTAGGGCACCAATTTTTTTTTTTTTTGATTTGTGTATATATATGTATAATTATATATTTAAAATAATTATTAATTTTGAAATTTAAAATTTAAAATTTAATTATCATGTTATATTAAATGGCACAATTAAAAGATAGACAAATGAT